AATTGTGGATCAATTAGAGCGTGGGCAAAAAAAGAAACAATTCCCCTTCAATTATCTTTGCAATAAATTAGACGAGTTAGCCTTCTTCATTTTTTATGTTTTATATACCATTTTGTAGCTCGTGAAATTCTCTATCGAATGGTATATAATAGTTGGGGTTTTACTTTGTCTATGATAGGAAAAGTTTTTTACGAAAGTGGGGATAGGTCGATCTTCACATAGGAAAGCATAGGGAAAAATGAGTATTTTTGCAATAACTCAGCAATGGTTCGACCAATCATTCTCATCTTCGAATTCGACCGAGATATTGTTGAGACTAAACTGTGCAGAAAATTTCATCGCGATCGGACTCTCCTTTCGAAAGTTATCGTGTAAACGGCCGGGAGGACACGCTGACTGATTATAGTGTACTCACTTTTTGAGTACACAATAAAAAACTTTTCAAATAAACAGATGTATATTAATTGTATTCAATCATGTTAAAAGTCTGTTCTAATTCGAGTGTGATTGTGATTTCGAAGGTAAAAGATATCTGGGTTTTGTTTTTTATGTATATTACATGACTAAAATTTGATCAAAGTTGAGTACAAAGACTCACTTGACAGGTGAAGGAGACAAAAATGAGAAAATAAAAATATCTATTGATATTACTATAGTCACGACTTTTTTTTTATTTATTGAAAGATTCAATTGATTTGAGTACATTAAATAATGAATTTTCAAGTTTCTTTCAATTGAATTCAATATTTATTAACTAATAAATTGTTTTTTTTTTTGTTATTTGATTTCATCAAAGATGTCATATGAGGTACAAGTTGAATCGAGTTTTTTCTTTAATTTATTTTTAAGGCTTCTATTTTATATATATTTGTGTATGAGTTAAAAATCTAACATATTTATAAAATAATAATGTTGATTTACCCGAAGGAATATAATAATCAATAGTAATACAATTTGAAATAATATCATAGATAATTTGAATATTAAAACCAAAAAATACAAGTTCATCATAAAGAATTTCAGCTGGATAATGTATTTCTGTTGATAAACAACCATAATGAAGATAATATGTTATTATATAATTAATAATACCAGGTGTTCGATAAAAATTATATTGTTCGGTAGATGAATTATAATATTTTAATCGTTGAAATGGATTACCAAGTAATGTATGATAATATTGATTAAGTTGATGAGCATATATAATAATTAGATTGCTTTGAGATGAATCATTGATTTTTACAAGATCTATATCTTGATTATAGTTTTCTTCATGCGTCATTATATTGCAATTGTATGTTTATAATGCGCGAAGAGAACAAGAAAAGAAAATCTAAGGTTTCTTTTTCATTTTCATATAAGATAATTGAAAAAAAAAAATGAAAAAAAAAAAAAGAAAAAGACATTGCAAATCAAATATGAAGAAGAGTACGAAAGGCGAGGTTGTTTTAAGCGCATGTCAAATACAAGCAACACGTCTTAATAAACTTGAATATCGTCGTTTACAACGTAATGTTACTTTATTACATGATGATTTAGAATCACATATTGCTCGAATACATCGACAAGAACAAGGTTTAAGATATCATTTTACAAATGTTGTTCGAGTTGTTAAACCAAATCGAGCATATCAAGCATGGAAACAAGCACATGCACATGAAATTGCACAAGATGAAGCAAAAGATTTCATAGGTTTGTTTGTTTGTTTTGAATTTTTTTGCAAAATCTATATAAAAAATTTAATTATTTCTTTTCTCAACATAATAATAACTGAAATATCCTCGTTTGGAAGAAAAATAATTTATTATATTTGAGATTTGTATCGTATTGAAAGGAGTTTCAAAATTACATTTTAATTCAATAGATATTTTTGTTTGATATTTTAATCTGAAAAGATTAAAAATTAGTGTAATATTAAAATTCACTAATTTTTCTTGTGTTATTGTTAAATAAAAATTTAATTTTAATGATTTCATCATTTAGATTAGATCTAGTAGTGAGATCGTAACAATCAACGCTAGTTCAGCCGTTCGTGTCAAAATAGCATCGATTGTTACATCTCATTGTCACTATTGAATTTGAATCGTAGAAAGGAAAATTCATTTGTATAAATTTTACATACAAAAAAGCTTCTGTGATGCCATCGCCGATAGTAATTATTGTTTATAAGATGTCACGATATAAAATAGAAGAATGAAAAAAATAAATAAATAAATAAATTTTTGTTTATCTTAAATTCTATGTTATTATTAACGCAGAGAATTTTCTTAAGCCTTTACCCACATTAGTAATTCTAGAATAGCCACTGATTAAACATAACAGCATCATTTTTAGAGAAAAACATTTTTGTTTTTTGGTGAAAACCAAACGAAAGAATATGAACAATAAATCATATTATAGACTAAAACGAAGACTTCTGCTCTTTCGAATTATAAGAAAATAATAGTTATTTCTTGTACAAAAAGATATCTTCAACCAAAGTTGACCGTCACTTTTCTTCCATTAATCTGATATCGATAAAATTTTCTAAGAACCTTGGTTTTTAAAGGTTTTTCGGATGATGTACAATTTGCCAATTTTCAAATAAAAAGTTTTTTTTCACATGAGTTTAGGGTGATGGTTCTCCTTCCGAGATTTTTCATCGCAAATGATATTTTTCTTATTGTTGAGTACAAATTGTGTATGAGTGTCGCCGATAGAC